AAGTTTTAAAAGGGCAGATATTGAGTTCAAATTTGGACAAACTGAGTCTTGATTATTGTACAATATCCAAGCAGAGATTTCCAGTAGACAGACATTAATATGTCTGACTCCCAGGAGGAGGATCTGGGCTGTAAATGTATATTTAGCAATTAGTCTTTGGGATTTAACTAATGACAGTAGAAGAGATCACGCAGGGAGAATGGAAACTATAGAAAAGCCCAAGTTATATGACTGACAATAATGAATAATAGGACTAGAAACAATAAACAGAAAACTGTCTCTGTTGGTTAATGAAACAGACAAACAGGCAAACCATCTCTTTGTCTCATTCCAAAACTTTCCAAAGATCTGGCCCTAAGCAATAAGTCTAGCCATCTCAATCTTTGCTCCTCTTTTCTATTTAACTTGTTTTTGCTCATTTGAAATGATCATCTATGTTCATATATTTTTACACTTTCTTTTTTTTTTTTTTTTACATTTTCACAGTGGTTAATTGTTTTTTCCTGAAACAGACAAACAGGCAAACCATCTCTTTGTCTCATTCCAAAACTTTCCAAAGATCTGGCCCTAAGCAATAAGTCTAGCCATCTCAATCTTTGCTCCTCTTTTCTATTTAACTTGTTTTTGCTCATTTGAAATGATCATCTATGTTCATATATTTTTACACTTTCTTTTTTTTTTTTTTTTTACATTCTCACAGTGGTACATGTTTCTTTCATTCCTTTCTTTTCCATGTCTGACTCATCCTTCGGGATTATTTTCTAATGGTTCCACTGCCATATTCATTTCCTCAATATCAAAGTATTGATGTCCTCTTCTAATCAGCATCATCCAGTGTTCTTATGGGAGTTAGCGTATTACAGTTTGCATCACAGTTATTTATGCAACAGATTCTTTCCCTTTGGTAAGAGTATAAACTCTGAAGATTAGGAACCCATTCTCCTAGATTAGTCTCTATAGTGCACTGCTGTGAAGACAGCAGGTACTTAGTAATTTTTTGTTCAATGAACACGTATCTTACTTACACTAACTAAAAGAGACAGTATCTTTGAGTCTTCTGATGAGGCAAGGGCCTTCAGCTGAGCCAATCATGGACATGCTTACTTATGAAAGGTGTGTGTCTTGTGGTTTTGCTATATTTAGGCACATACTGGATTGATAAATTATGGAAGAGCATTTTATAAAAGCACATTCATGATACAGGGTCAAAAACTAGAAACATAGTGTTAAGAATGTTTGTTTCAAGAATTGCTAATATTATATTTTTGGTACTATTTTCACAAAGGGATAGTGAATACTTGTTTCCACTCAGCTTCTCCTTTTATAACTTTAAAAATTAATGTTGTACAATGGGCATGCAAAGGACAAGTACTGCTGAGACACAAACACGTACTATTTTTATTCATCCTATAAGACACTATACAGGCAGTTTCTTTATGATGTCGTACAAATAATCACAAGCCTTTCCAATATTTCAGTAAACTAAAAAGTAAGGCAACTTAGTGGGAATCTTCACTTAAATAGAGTAAGGGTTAAATGATAACTTGACTTATCTTTTAAATGACAAAAAATAAAGAAATTGCAAGACCTTTTCACACATTAGATATGTATTGTCATTTATCATCTAGATATCAGGCTAGCAGTGCAAAGTAATAAAACATATCATCGAAAAATGTGCTATAGGTCTGAATCAGTCTTTCATTCCACCTCCCAGCTAACTGTAGTATTAAATCAAACAAGCAGAACATTTCCTTAGGCAGCCATTGCCTTTTAATTTCCTGAAGAACCTTAAAATATCATTCATTACAAGTACTACACATATTTGGTTTTTAAAAGTCTCATAAATCAATAGCAGGCTGACTGTAATAATTATTACAAGTTAGTGCATAATTTTCGTGCTGAAGGCTGCATGCAGAACTTTAGCATATGCAAACGAGGCAATTCAAACTGTGTATAGATATTAATATGAAGAAGCAGGTAACGAGGTGCAGGCTATGAATTATGCATCAGGAGTGGCTGATCTTCAATGAGGAAAATGAATTCAGCATGTAATCTAATTAGTGATGGAAGTCTATTACATCTAACTGCAAAAGCAACCGTCCTTGAAACAAATTTATTTACAGTCCATGTTACCACTTGAAACAACTTTGAAATGATGTGTAAGACAACAGCTTAATTGTAAAAATTTTTTGTTTGTTTGTTTCAGTTCTAGACCTGGAAGGCCTCCTAAGAGGACTCAAAGTGTCACCTCCCCAGAGAATTCTCACATTATGCCACATTCTGTCCCTGGCCTCATGTCTCCTGGGATAATTCCACCAACAGGTAAGAGTACTACTGATTTACGTCAAAAATATTTAAAATCAACCAATACTACAGCTTTTATGTATACCTGTAGTTACTTAGATATTTACATGGATCAATTATATTTTGTACCCACTAAGACAATGTTACCCATGACAATTTATTTCAAAATGGCATTGTGATTACCATCATTTGTTTATGTAAAACAGAATGAATGAAACTTAATTGAGCACACTGTACAAGTTATTTTAATTAATCCTCCCACAAATATCTAACAGCAAAATATCATTCTTATGTTCTTATGAAGGAATCTAAGCTCAGAGAGTCAAACTTCCTCAAGGTCAGTCAGCTGGTAGCTATAAGATCTCTAGATTCTGAACTTATTTCTCATTCTATAAGAACTTGGGAATAGACACATACGAGCAAAAGTCAGTAAAATGTCAAGCAGAAATTCTCCTAATTTTTCCCAAAATTATTATGTGAATAAATTTCTATTAGAACCATTTGAAGTATGTTTATTCTAAGACCTTTGAAAAATGCATAAATAAAAGAATAGTCTGGACCATACTAGGTCCATACCATAAGCAACTTTAATAATGCACTGGGGTAAGTATATTTGATTTTCACCACCTGGGTGTGTTCAATAATTCTTTTATCTATTGCATATATTTTAGCCTCATTTTGATACTTCAGCAGGCAATTGG